GCTATGCAGATAGCCGATAGCTGTAACTTTTTTTTTTTGTTTTTTTTTGAGGTGGAGTCTCACTCTGTGCTAGGCTGAGCTGCAGTGGGCAGTCTTTGGTTCACGCAACCATCCACCTCCCAGTTCAAGCAATTCTCCTGCCTAGCCTCCTGAGTAGTGATTAGAGGGATCACCCCATGCTGGCAATTTTTTACAAGGGGCTCTCTGGTTCTGCACCTGCGTTAATTATGGCATGGACGTCCACAGTAGGACCCTAAGGGCTAGTAATCAGCCTGGGTCGGGGGCAGAGAAGTGGTGGATGTGGCTCCCAAAGTGGCTTAGGGGCTCCCTTCCCTGTGGCTGTTTCCTGACTGGATACAGCAAGGTCAGGCTTTTCGGTGTGACGTTTTCTACTCTTTATTAGTGGCAGGAGCGTCCCTGTGCCAGGCCTGACCCAGGTGTGGGCCTTGCAGCCAGCTCGGGGTCCAAGGGGCACTCCTGGGGTGCAAAGGAGGATTTGTGACAACCCAGAGGATGGAGGAAACGGCGGTTTTGAAAAGGCAAGTGCCAGGTTATTAGGGCTCGCTTATATCCATTTCTGGCAGTGAACTGACAGTTTCAGACACTCACGAGGGAGCTTCCCGCTTGGGATCCCAAAATGTCCCAGAAGTGTCAGACATCTCGCCATTAACGCCATTCCTACGCAGGGACCACACTGCGCATGTCCGAAGAGGCGTGTCAGGGGCGGAGCGAGGGTAAGGGGCGGTGCCGAGAAAAGAGGCGGGGCGAGGAGAAGGGGCGGTGCTGAGGGGAGAGGCCGGGCCTAGGGAAGAAACTCGGCGCGAAGGGGCGGGGCCGAGGGAAGCTGCGGGGCGAGTCCAGCTTCAGGAAGAGTAACGTTACTATGGCAACCCTGACAGGTTTGTGAGCAGCCCCCGGTTCCCTGCTGCTTCGAGAGAAATCAAACTTCTGGCACTGACAAAGCATGAAACCAGCATTTTAGGAAGAGGTAGTGGCATAATTACAAGGTAGGACCAGCCGCCCTGGTCCCACTGTCGCCTGGCAGGCAGAAGAGGCTTGGAAACAGCCAGGCTCCCCTTGACATGGCAGTACTGATCTGGACGCGGGGAGGTGTGGATTGGTGGGTGGGAGCTACGCCTGGCACACTGAGAGTTGTCGTCTTTGATTAGCTTCCAGTTTTTTAATCGCAGGGCGACCCTATTACAATCCCAGCCAGCATGAACATGGGGCGTCCCATAGTCCTGAAGCGGGAAGCCGGGCTCTGGCGACCTCGCTGTGCATGCTGGGAGTTGTCGTCTCTTCACTGCTCCCGCCCGTTGTTTCAGGCGCTTCGGGACTACAATCCCAGCATAACCCAGGCTCGGGGACGGGGCGCAGTTCTCCGGGGAAGAGCCGGGCGGCGAGCGCCTGGCTAGGCAGGCTGGAAACAGTGGCTCTTAACGGTTCCCCACCGATTGGTAGCAAGGCGGCTGAACTAGAATCCCAGCAGGCGACATGCGAGGAGCCCGGCAGCCAGGAGGGTCGGAAAAGGCAGTGTGGACCTCGCCGCTTCCGCAACTATGCTGGTCTACTGATCGCGTGCACCTCCTTGCCAAGGAAAGTGAGTCCGGAGAGGGACAGGAGGCGCAGGTCCGGGCTGGGTAGTGAGGAAAGCGTGATGCCGCGATATGCACCTCGCCCTTGTCCAACTCGGACGGGTGTGGTCCTCACCCCACTTCCCGCTGCTCAGCTGGGTTCCCTCTCCCACCTGCACCCGGGGTCTTTCCTGGGCATCGCGCCTCCTGCAGCCCAGAGAGCCGCCTGCTTTTCTAAGCTGCTGTGGGAACTGGCCTCAGGTCTGGGAGCCGTCCATTGTGCCGCCTGCCCTCTTTTCTCTCCAGCCAGAGCGCAGTTCCACCGCTCAGAGCTTTGCACGGGGTGACATGGCCTGTGGCTTCGTGCAAATATCACCCTCACCAGCGCCTTTTTTTGCGGATGTGGATGTTGAGGGGTTAGGGAGGGCCACTATTGGCTTACCCAGGAGATGCTAAAAGCAGAGGAGAAAATCTTAATTCCCAGGCGTGTGTCTCTGGTGCACCATTTTTCACCAACCCATTTGGTAGAAAGTCCCCCAAATAACAACCTAAAGATTAGGATGGTTTAGGCATTTTACACGTCATATCATTGGCCTCATCTCAACAGATGCCTGATTGGCCAGTGTCTCAAACACAGATGGCAATCCTCAGGAACAGGTGGTGCTTCAGCTTTGTGGGAGCGACTTTCAAGGTGTGGACCACTTTGGGAGTCTTTGTAACTCCTCAGGCTTCACATCTTTGCTTTGAATGGAAAGCTCATTATCCCCGGCACTCGCAGAGGTACCTTTACTCTCTCAGGCTGATCTGTTGACTTTTTCTGCCTAGACAATGGAAACTTCTGAGAGCACTTCTAGTTTCGTGTATCTTCCTAATAATTGATGTCCCTAATTTCCATACGTCCTCAGGGACGGTTCCTTTGATTCTGGAATGGCGCAAACTTTTATGTCTAATCCATAAAAACCAAGGTGTTAATCTACATGAAAATAAGACCTTGTTCATATACATTCCAATAGGCTTCATTTGTGATTTCTGAATGTGGATTACTATTAAAAAAACCTAAAAACCCTGGTCATGGATATTAGACACTTATTATACTTTGTGAAGAATTTTACTCCTTCAGGATTAATTGCACACAGGCTCATCAGCACCTTTGTAAATAAAGGAACAAGAACCATGTGCTATCTATGGATGTGGCAAGATGAGGAAGTATAGGGAGACCACAGCGCAGCGATTCTTCTCTTGTTTTCAGTAGAGTCTGTGGGGTCCCCCATCCCTCAATATTCTCATTCTACTCCTGACTGTTCCCTCGTTAGGTGGGCATTTCTAATTATGCTTGTCCGCAATAGTTGGTGGGGATGTTGTAACGTGAGGACATCCACCATCCATCACCTTAAAGATAAATGGAGAGGATTTTGTGGTGTGTGTTCAAGAGGCACTGCTGTTGGGTGTGTTGCTGCCAAAACACGTGATCTCAGCTGTCCCCAGCAGCTGTCTCAGAAGATTGGTCCTGATGCAGCCACAGCTGCTGTTCACAGAGCCAGGAGCTCTTTGCAGTTTAGTGTATTCTGCTGAGATTTATGGCTCCGACCCTCCTCTGTTCTGCCATTCCTGGTAGTATCTGCTCAGTTGCCTGGTTTGCTCCAGTGTTTCCTGGGACCCTGTTGTGTAACTGCATTTCAGAGGGTCTTAAGGGATTCTACCCTCACTACACCAGTCACTCTACACTGGCCATGCACTTAGCTTCTTGGGGCCCTGCATATGTCCTCTTCATTGGAGCTGTGAAGAGTTCTAGTTAGGGATAGATCTCATTCTTACTTGCCTCAGGCTGCTTAGAAAGCTGATCATCTTGTCTTTGGACACATGGATATTGTTCCTTTTGTGTATTTTGAAGTCCGATGCTGTTTTTTTTTTTTTTTTTTTAAACAACGTGGACGCTTGCATTAATAGTCACTTTTAAATATCTTTGTGAATTTAACTCTGGCAACAACTTGATGAAGTTGACATGCGATCCCCATTTTATAGGTGATGGAACTGACACTCGGAGAGGTAGAGTAGCTTTATTTACTTCACACAAGCTGTGGATGAATTTCAAATCTCAACCTAGAAGTCTTCCTCTAAGGTATGATCATGACATATTCTACTTTGTTTCTCTGCCAGCATCCCAAAGGGGTCCACATCTCATTAGGACTCCATTTTCTTCTTAATGACAGGAAACTTGCAGAAACAGGCCTTTGGTTGGGGAGAGCACTTGCTGGCACTTGGCCTTCCCTGTTCTCTGCCTTCCCCTTGTCGGGGTGTAGGTGATTTGAGGGAGCTGGAGCAGCGGTAGATCCCAACCACCACTCACCTGGAATGCTTGTAGTTATGTAAAGATAACACCCTCTCACTTTTTTAGGTGTGAATTTGTTGTTGTTGTTGTTCTAATTATTCCTCTGGGCCTTCTCTTCTAGATTCGTTCTGTGCACTAACATGCAATACAAATACTGATGAAAATAAAACTATTGCCCTCCTACCAAATGGTAATAGCGCTTACATTTTTCCTCTTTTTCTAATTATAAAAGAAATGCATGCTGTTTTAAGAATGTTAGGTCATAGAGATCTTTATGTAGTGAAAATCTCCCATGTCTTCCTCTTTGTTCCAAACTCACTCCCTTCTTAGAAGGAATTATTATTGCTTGGGGTTTATTTTTCTGGATGTTTTCTATAAATTTATAAATACATATAAAGTTGGCCAGGTGCAATGGCTCACGCCTGTAATCCTAACACTTTGGGAGGCTGAGTAGGGAGAATCACTTGAGCTTAGGAAGTTGAGGCTGCAGTGAGTTGTGATCATGCCATTGCACTCTTATCTGGGTGACAGAGT